TTGTAATTATCATAATCATTATCTGACAGCACTTGCAGTGGTCATAAAAAATTGTTCTAATTTTCAGGGACATTGTATGTCTACACTCAATCCACCAGTGGGTAATGGAGGAGGTATTGGGGGCATTGGAGGTAACAACTTTGGAGTTAGTAATGGATTTGGAACCCAGTTTGGCAACCAATTTGGTGGAGGAGCTGGAGGCCAGTTTGGTGGTGGACCTGGAGGCCAGTTTGGTGGAGGACCTGGAGGCCAGTTTGGTGGAGGACCTGGAGGCCAGTTTGGTGGAGGACCTGGAGGCCAGTTTGGTGGAGGACCTGGAGGCCAGTTTGGTGGAGGACCTGGAGGCCAGTTTGGTAGAGGACCTGGAGGTCAGTTTGGTGGAGGACCTGGAGGTCAGTTTGGTGGAGGACCTGGAGGTCAGTTTGGTGGAGGAACTGGAGGTCAGTTTGGTGGAGGATTCTCTCAGACTTACAGCTATGGTACTAATCAGTTTGACCTTGGTGGTGTACCAACATTCCCCATAGGACCACAAGATCCACATGGTGACAATAAGAACATCATATCCACTGAAGGATGCTTCACATGTAAGGTAAGTCTTGAAGATTTATTTTGACTTTTCCAAGTATTTGCATTGGTTAAGAAGTGTAAATCATGTACATTGAAAAAATGAAGAAACCCTTCAAAAGCTTTAATTTTAAAAAGTGCACAATTCATACAAGATTTTTTCTTTTCTTTTCTTGACTTTTTCTTTTTTCTTTCTATCTTTAATACAATGCTTTTTGTGACAGAATGGACTAACAGGACGCCGTCGTCGATCAGTACATGTGCCTTCAGTGATAAACCAGCAGTTATTCATTCCAGCCCCAGTTAACTATACAGATGATCAAGTTGTGCTGGTTCATGCCAACAACAACACGCACAGGGTTAGTTGCAAAAACAAATTTAGAAATTAGTGTGAATTTTATGCATTCATTTATTTCCTTAGCAGGATAACTGATATTTAAGTCAATTTTAATTCAAATTATATATTGACATAAGATGGCATTATCTTACAGATAGTGCGGCGTAGTCTGGAGGACGAATTTAGAAGACAAGACAGCATAGCACACAGGGCAGCCAAAAATCCAATTGTTCTGAAGGTTTCCTTGAAGCAAACTAAGCACAGGATGCAGCTTATAAAATTAAAACCAGCTTTAACATATCTCCAGGTGATTAGTTTACCAGTTTATATTTATATTTATGTATATTTATATATATTTATATATATTTATGTATATTTATATATATTTATATATATACATATACATATACATATATATATATAAATATTTATTTATATATATACATATACATATATATATAAATATATATATATATATATATATATATATATATATATATATATATATATATATATATATACATACATATGTATATACATTCTTCATATTTATATATATATTTATATTTATATATATATACATATATATACACACATATACACATATTTACGCATATATACACACATATTTTCGCATATATACGCATATATACACACATATATATACATATACATATATATACATATATATGTTTATATATACATACATGTATATATAAACATATATATATTTATATAAACATACATGCATATAAACTTATATATAAATATATATAAACATATACATACTTGTATATATAAACATGTATACATGTATATAAACATATATATAAACATATATAAATATATATAAACATAGATATATACATATATACACATATACACACATATACAATATACAGTAAGTCCCCTACTTACGAACATTCCATACAGACGAACAAATATTTTTAAATACTTAAGTCCAAAAAATTGTTTGAAAGATGCTAGCAAACTTCATGTTTCCCAGGCGCAAATATAGTTCACGAGTCTGCCACATAATGGCACTGCCACACTCACTCAGCTATGCGCATCACTCGCCTCGGTCGCCTGCCCTCCCGCCATAAACATAAAAGCATCTGTTCACTGTGTCCTCATGTACTGCTAATTTTTGTGCCATAATTCACTTTACCTGTGCATCAATCCATCAAAAATACTTATTGGGATTTATGTACAGGTATTCTTAATGTAAACAAAACTTTAAAACAATGGGAAAAAAGGCAATGGAGACCCGACTTTGAATATACGAACAAATGGAGTTACGAACAGCCTCTCAGTCCCCATTATGTTCGTAAGTTGGGGACTTTCTGTATATATATATATACAATATATACATATATATACAATATATACATATATATACAATATATACAATATATACAATATATACATATATACATATATACATATATATGCAATATATACATATATATATACAATATAACATATACACATATACATATATATACATATACATATACATTTATATACATACACATATATATTCATACACATATATATACATATACCTATACATATATATACATTTACATATACATATGTATATACATATACATATACATATACATATATATACATGTATATACATGTATACCGATATATATACTATGAACTGAAGATAGTGAGGAATTTGTTCAGTAATGCAATTAATGACACAGTGAGTTTTTTTAAGAACTTTTGTTTTTAGTATTTAATTTACTCAGTCTTAAGTTTTAACAACCCTTCTGCTTTCAGAACAATGTTAAATATGAAATAATCAAAGGAAATGAAAACAAAGTATTTGATATGAAGTCTCGGCATGGGACAACATCTCTACACTTCCACCGTCGTCTGCACCGACCAGAAACCTTTGACTTGGAGATCAGTGGGCATCCACTAGATTATAATAATCTTGAAGATACAAATAATGATCTTGATGTAAACATTAGGATCATTGTTACACACTAAGACAAAACTAAATGTAGTTACATGTATAGAGTTGTAATGCAGATTTTTATTCCATCTTTAAGAATGATAGGCAAAGAACAGTTTTATCATGGTATTTTGTAAGTTATATTTGAAAAGAAGCTCAAAGATATATTATTTTACTGTATGCTGCATAGAGCAGTAAAGGTCTTGTTACAGGTTTTCAGTGTAAACCTATTTATGAAAAATTTGTGAAGAGTATAAGATAATCAAAATAATTAGTTATTTTATACAATAGAATAGTTCAAGCCAAAATTGGTTAAGAATATTATAGATTGATTCATGGGCCAAGATTTTTTTTTTTCTTTTTTTCTTTTTTTTTCTTTTTTTTTAAGCATAAAACATCCAGCAAAATTTTGCATATGTAGAGTGATATACATTTTTTTTTTCCTGTTTATTTTATGTACATTGAAGTTTAGTGTACTTAGTAGTCATTAGTGCTTTCTTTCCTATTAGTTAGTAACATTAGTCATTTGTAAAGCTGAATGAGTTATAGTACTAGAATGAATTAATATTATAACGGTGATATTTTTGAAGGTGCTAATATATGTTTGGCTTAGCTTACTTTCTCATGTAGAGCTAAACTAGGGACCAGTTTTTATAACATTATTTGGAGCAAATGTGTCATTTTACTGAGAGTAGCACAATTGATTTTCATTTTTTTTTTTTTTCTTTCTTTACTGTGAATATTACATCCACTCTTTGGTCTACTACAAATTCTACTAACAGTAAATATGCACACAGCTGTTCACATGGGGTCTTGCAGATATAGCCCACCTGGCTGATACTTAATAAAAATTAATAGTCATGAACTGCTAGTGCTTTACACCTTAGAACAGTGGCAACTGAAACTGAAATATTAATCATTTTCTTTTTTTCGTGTGATTTTTCATAAAATAACAAAGGAATTAGCTTTATCAATAAGTTCTCTAGGTGAGCTATGATGTATGATTTCGCACGTTGTGTGGTGTCCAACTATCGAGCAATCATAATGTCTAGTCCTGGGACAATGTATCTCCATTGTGCTGCATCCTTGTAGCCATAGCAAAATATTATTTATGACTTTGGGGTCTTACTGTTTATTGCACATACTCTGCAATTCAGGTTTCATTATATTAATGGCCTACATCATTTGTTATTTGTATTATATTATTTTGTTCATGCATGTGCTCATATATGCATCTACATATGCAAGTACATGCACCATACAAAGACTTTAATCAAGTGTGTGCACCCACACACCCACACAGACATACACACAACTACACACTTATATATTTAAGTAAATCAGGGTATTAGATTTACCATTCTTGTGACATCAAAGTTTACACTTATGGAGATGCAGTGTCCAGTTCAGCCACAGTATTGTTCACCCTCACTGCCAAAGGACATCACCGTTGTCATATTAAAAACTCACCATAACTGTTAAGTGATATCTGCTCATCTTGTCAGTTTTCTGTTGAAGGAGTTATTGCACACATACTTTCATATAAGATAGTAAATGATTCTGTCAATCTTTATTTGATTATTCTTCACTAACAAGTGCAATCTCCTTTTACAGTGACACCCATTCTCATTGCCTGTTTTTACCAAGTTGTTAGAAATGATAAGAAATGACTATTGAATCAATCCAGAGTAAGTCATTTTTGTCACAGTATATTTTATGGTTGGTCAAATTTTTGTATGTAATCCTGTGTGTATATAAAAATGAAGAATTATTATTAAGTATCGTTGCACAAGTGTATTTTTCCCATAATTGTACTATGATACGGTCTTACTATATGAAAAAAGAAGATTGCTTTCTCATACTAAATCATTAGATTGAAAGATTTCTGAAAAAAAAGTCAAAAGCAAATTACAAGTGTTACTTTAACACTTCTAACACTTAGGTCTGCTGCTTCACCATCAGTCACACTCCCTGGGTAACATAATATATGTGAGCTTGAGGACCTTTGATATTCATCTCAGTCTCGCTGATCTCGTAACATCTGTGCCGTTACACTGATAATCATAGTCTCCTGCATAACTCTGACTGCTTATGAAGTCTTGTTTCATAATAAATATCACCAAAGCCTTA